AGTGTGAATAATTCAGAACAAAATTTTGAATCATTTAAAAAGCAGAGGCTTCACATTTCATTGCTAACCTGTTCCCAGATAACATGAAATTTACAAAAAACACATTGCAATTTCTGGAACAAACCCATTTCAACTATTTGAAAATATTCTTGCATTCGTTTCATTCTGTCCAAAGAACGTTTCAAACTCGGTATTTTTGAAAATTGTGTTTCACGTTTCATGAAAAAATCAGAAGATAATTAAGTACTGGGTATGTGCTGCCTAAACATGAAACACCATTTACAGAAATTATTGTGTCCATAAAGTGTGATCACCTTTGCCTCTAAGGTTGGTGGAAAATTTAATGTTTAGTTAACCAAAACTGACTGTATTAGGGAATTAACATGATCTTCTGCTAGCATTATCATGCATATATAATATATGCCACCATCATCATTCATTAGTGTGGATTCTTGGCTCCTGTAGTACCAGCATGACTAGAAAACAGCCTTTGACTGTGCCTAAGCCAAAAAGCTTAGCAACAAAAACAGAAAGAGAAAAGCCAGTGCAGTACAGAGATTTCTTTTTTTTCTAGTGATAAGAGCAGGAGGACAGAATGAAGAGTTTTACAGTGTGTTTCAGTGTGTGGCCTTTCAAGAGGGACTTTATCCTCTCCTCACGGGAGGTTGATGCCTCATTTTCCTCATCTGTGAAACAACAATAGCAAGACCAGACCGCTCAGCAGCTGAGGTTGTGAGTGATCAAACGACACGGCGTTTCTAAAGCATGCTGAGACCCTCCAGCAAGAAATTGCTACAGGGAAGGCAAATGTGATGCTGATCACCTCACACACATGCACAGTGATTAATGAGTCTCAGGCAGTTGTTCAGGGCAGTGAAGCCACTGGTTATGATGGCATTAATATGCTTTTGCATTGCTCTGACCGCACTATTAGCACCCGCATTCCACAGGGGGTATCAGGGCTGTGCCCTCCAGGTACAGTTGGGAGTATCCTACCATTCAGTTCCTGCCCTGTTGATCTCTTCCCACCAGCACTCTGTCGGCTCACCGAGGCTCTGGGCTGCTGGCATGCAGGCATAGTTCCACAGTCTGTCGGAGCCTTCCTTCTTGTTGAAAACACTCCTGACGGCCACAATCACCTGCCCGTGTGGGCACTGGAAGTTGAAACCCTGCCGGTACGCATTGGCCCATTCATCATTATCTCCATAGTTATAGGGACCGTAGGAATAGTCACCACCGTACTGGCCCCATGCCACGGTCACCAGAGGAAGAAACACACAGAGAAGGACGAGGTCCATCCTGATGATGTTCCTGGCTTAGAAATGCCTCACTGGTTTGTTGGGCTGGCCCTTTTATATTGTCTCTAACATTTGGCTTCCAGATGTTATGCTTCCAGATCCAAGTGCAATGTGTCATTGCTTAGCAAACCCTTCTCTGAGTTACAGACGCGTCCAATTACTTTTAAGGTGGAATTCTGCAAGTACATAAGTCTGCAGGCCATAAGAGCAGGGTCTTCCCACCACCACAAGCCATCTGTGATCCCTTGCTGCAGAGCTACTGTATAAAGCAAGATATACATTGTAGTACAACTGTCACAGATATCCCACTTTTATCCTCAAGACAGCAGTTAAGTTTGAAAACTACTTCATTTGAAATTAAAGCTCTCTTTGAAGTTGCCGCTTTCTATCATTAGTAACATGCAACAAAATGTGATTATGTGTGTGTGTCCCCACCCTCTTTTCCCTCAATATGTGTGACATGATTCTGCCAGTTCCTAGAAAGAACGGATTTGGGCAAGATGGGGGAATTCACTGCTCCTATTGTAAAAGATCCTTTAGACATTTTGGTTTGGTTGGAGGGCAGGTGGAGCCCGAATGACTGTGACTCCAGCTTGGCGTGGAAACAGCTCACCCTGAGAAGTAGAGCATCGTCATCTTCCATGCAGAACTGATTTTGGTATGACTGTATGTGAGCACTGTAAAACTATGGATTTGGCAGATGTTTTACTGTGAGGATAAAGCACAGGGAAATCACTGCAAAGGATCCAGAGACTGTTTCTTGCTGCAAGTTTCTCTTCCACTTTCTTCATTACCCATTTTCCCCATTTGGGCCATGCACACACACACACACACACACACGAATGGGTAAGCTTTTATTCTGTTGCTGATACCATCAGAAAGATCTGTGATGGGTAACAGTGGACTTGCTCTTCTCTAGGGATCTCCAAACCCACCACGCCTGGTCATTGCTTTGCAGGAGCATAAGCATCTCAAGAGGTGGGTGCCTTTACTAACCAGCCCCACATCTCAAAAGCTGCCTTCAGCCTTACCAACCAGGTGCTTTTGTGCCTTTAGCTAATGGCTTTTATGTAGCAGAGCCTTGTTTGACAAAACTGTAGGTGGGGGTTGAGCTCTTGGCCAGGAGCACAGTTCAGCACTATCTCAGTTGTCCACGCTCACAGCCAGTGCAGATCCACCTGAACCTGTCAGCTGAGAGTGGCTGATCTAGTTTCAGTGCTTCACCTCCAGCTGTCACAGCCCCAGATGACTGGGGAAGAGGGCTTATGGAGACAGCACAGAACAGCCCTTTCTGTGGAGCTGCCCTCCCCTAGATCTTATGTAGCAGTAAGTGACACAAAGTCTAAAGAGAGAGGAAATTTAAGTTTAAAAAAACATAGTTATCCAATGGTCACCAGAGTGCAGACTTGAACTGCATGATCTCATATGAGTTTTTCCGCTAACTCATTAGTGTATGTTTTTTCCCTCTCACTTCCTTAGACACAGTCACATCTGGGAGCACTGCACACTGCTGTATATGCCTGAGAGGCATTCTGGAAGACATTTTAGCAAGAGGCACCACATTATCATATATATATGATCCTCACCTCGCATAAACCTTTATGAGCTCCATTCCTTGGAAGGAAGTCCTCACATAACCCACACAAAATCAGGGACAAGAGGGGATGAGATGGGGGAGGAGGGCTTTATGGAGAAGAGGGCGCAGTCTTCCTTTGCCTACCTGTGACATGCGTGTGAAGCTTCAAGGTGCCTGATATCACTTCCTTAAATGCAGTCTGCCCTGCCTGATCCCAGTCAGTGGATAGGGTTGCACTTCCATGCTGCACTGTGATCAAGAAGTGGTTTGGGTGGGGAAAAAAGCTGTGCAGGGAAGAAAGTGAACATGAGAGATGTGGAACTACATATCCCTGTAGCAGTCATGGCAGTGCAGACGTCCTGACCAGGGACTGCCTAAAAATCTACGCTTCTGTGTTTCTGGATCCGTGCTTTCTGGAAACTTTTAATATTAATTTTCATGCTTCATTCTGTTGCTGAATAAAAACAGAAGAGAACAGAATTTCTTACAGGAGGGACATGATGGTTTTTAGTCACCTTGCAGAAGGGTGGTATTTGTGAGTGGGAGGAACTGTGATTTGAAAATTCCTGTAGGGGTTAAAAAAAGAGAATAGTGTGCAAACATGAATTTTGTTTCTGAGTAATGCTCGTTCAGCTCTTCAGTTCACAGCTGCTTGGTTCAGGGAGCAAAGCTGAGGCTACATGCGGCTTGTTTCGCTAACATTTCTCACTATTGCTCCAACCCAGATAATTCCACTGATGTTGCCAGTGCTGAGAGTTGCAATTTTAGCTGTGTTTCCATTGACTCACTGGCCTGTTAACTACTCTGCTTTACTCTGTTCTGGCCAGTGAATCAAACATAGCAGTTCAAAAGCCAGTGGCTAGAAGAGCTGCAAACTAGTCTGCAGCTCAGTGACTTCTGTTGGCTTCAGCTAGACTTTGCAATAGGAGAAAACTCAACGGTATTTAAAAATCAGTCCGTCTCTGAAATGACTTACCCTTTAATTTGACTTTAAAAATGTCAGCTGCATGCCTTGCACATCCAATCTTCAGAAAAGCAGAGAGTGTCAATGATGTAGTAAATATGAGGTGTTAAGACCAACCTTTCATTATCAGTTCTTTGCTGTGGAATCTATGTTGGCTGGTAATTTTATTCTCTATCCGTTCTTAGAAATGCTGCATTTAATCCATACAAACAAGTATTTAATTTCTGACTTGTTCAATAATGGTGGATGAAGGTGATTATTCTTGATACCCCACCCCTGCCCCCGGCCTAACTTCAAAGTTAGCTCTGCTTTGAGCACAGTTTGGATTAGAGGCCTTAAGAGGAATGTCCTTTCCAACCTAAATTATTCTGTATTTCTCTCCTGCTGCAGATACTAGATGCAGTATTACTTAGTGCTGCAGGTATTATTAGTGCTTTGGAGCCATTAGGAGAAATGCTGCAGTATTCTCTTACCATGCCATGTTACAGCCATAAAATGCAGAGAAATTGCAGTGCTTTGAACTATAATCACTGGTGCAGTAGTACTATTCGAATGAATAACAGTAGCCAGCTTAATGGCTTTTATTTTAGCACCCAAGCTCTATGGTAAAATAGGAAAAAAAAACGGAAAAGCTTTATTTATTATTTGGCAAACACAGAGACACTAGAGCTGCAATGAGAATAGCAAGGGTTCAGACTTGGTCAGTGACAGGTACAGCTAGACCTGTGTCTACAAAACTGGTTGCATGAAAGTAGTGTCATCTGGTTTTATTGGAGTAGCTGGGCTGCTGAAGTTCCTGTGTCTGCAAAGGTCTGACTCAGGGGCAACCATTTTTTTTACCCCACTGTGAGGGCAAAAGGGGCATATAAGTGTGTTATCCCACAGCACTCGGTCCTTTAGATGCACAAGAGTGATTCCATCCCATATTACTTAGGACTATAACCAGAAATGAAGCTTTGTGTTTTGTGCTGGTGAGGGAGGCTGAGTGTGTATCCCCAGAGCCAGGAAGTCCTCTGTACGCAAAACAGGTATGGCAGGAGCAGGGACAGTAGCAGCAGCAATATATGTCTGTTTCCAAGATAATGTAACATCATGGCATTTCACAGTGAAAGTGTTTTTCATGTCAGCTCATTGCATCAGTTAGGTCGCAGATTTTGAACACATTTTCCATATTTTATTACACATTGTCTCAGAGTGATGCTGGCAGTTCTGATAAAGCAGAGTGGCTTGGATGAGTCAGGGAGGCTGCACGATCTGGGAGCTGAATTCAATTACTGATTACTTTGCCATCTTTGCAGCGTGACTTTTTTTTTTTTTTTTTTGAAGAAGCTTCCTGCATTGTTAGTTTTTATAGAAGTGTGAGAATTTGGGGTGTCTTTATTATGTTTTTGAAATGAGGTTACAGAAGCCCTGATAACGTGGAGAAGGATGAAGCTGCTAGAAAGCTGTGCTTCCCAAGGGACAAAGATATATCCCTGTCAACGTTTTATCTCAAAGTTATTATCTTCTTTCAGAGTAATATATGTGGTGAAGGCTGGAGTTCATTTGTCGAGACTTCCTACTGTTAGTTATATTTTTTCTAGCACCTTTAACTTAATGTTCTCAAAGCACTTTGGTTAAGTTCAATCACCTTCTTGAAAAGTAGAAAAGGTTAAAACCTCCTTATTTTACATGGTAGGTCCAGTGATCTGCCCAATGTCCACTAGTACCTCAGGGTAGAAAGAGATTTTAAACTCCAGCATCTAGACTGTCAGCATCAGGCGCCAGCCCTGGGAAGGCACACCTTTTCCCAATGCCTTCTTCCTGCCACTTCCCTACAGAGACGCTGGTTCAATTTCTACTTTGCGTGGCTCTTTCTTTGTAAAAGGGAAGTTACTACTTAAGATCCTGCAAGACTAGAGGATGTTGCAGAGCTGTTTTCTCCTTGGAAGTAGCTGTAGAAAATTCTGGTATGATACCACCTGGAATATTGCTGTGGAGAAAAAAAGTGCTAGCTGCAGTGCCACTTTTCCAAGGTTATCATAAGCCTTTGGATTACTTTTTTAATAGCTTTCTGTCTGCAAGTTTAGTGTTAAATCATAGGTTAAGTAGTAGAAGCAAACAGGAGATGCAAAACTTAAGTCATAAAGTCTCTGAGGAAAAGGTAAGGAAGCTGTACTGAGACATTAGTGAAGAAACAACTGAAACAAATTTTCCTGGTTTGGGAAACCGGCTAGGTGCCATGATAAATCATCTCTATCTGCAACTCTGAAATCTATTATTTTGAAAACATAGTTTTCAAGTAATCAGTGAACAACTGTTTCATAGATTGATCACATTTCCTAGATCAGATTACCCCCAAAAACTGGGTACAGAAGTGACAGTCACGGACCTTTGTGACAAACCTTTCCCTGCTCACACAAAGCTCTGAGCAGGGAAGAATTGTAGAGAGGAAAAGAGCTAAACTGTGCAAGGGGAGAC